AGAGAGAGAGAGAGAGAGAGAGAGAGAGAGAGAGAGAGAGAACACAAGAATTTGTTTAGACAATTCACCAATCTTCCTCATTGTGATTACGTCTGCCCCAAATTCCAAATGGAATTGAGATATCAATCTTACTTTGCAAAAAGTTTATTACAAGAGAAATGTAGCAATGCAACCCTACAAACCCAATGTTTGATGTTGATTCTAACCCTTTCTCTCCCCTTGATCATGAGCTCTACTAAGTACCCTGATAACACCAATTGATTCACCGTCTCACGCTACTCCTTGTAAGAACCGTTGTTCTTAAAAGCTTTCACTCAATCGAATCCAATGAGAATTATTGTGTCCCAAGATTTCCAAACGATTCACCGTCTCACGTTACTCCTTCAACAAAACCAACCCTTCTTTGAAGCTTTCACTCGATCAAATCCAATATTTGCGAATCTTGTGCAAACCCTCAAATCAACACTATGATCTTGGAGGATAAACCCTGAGTTTTTCCGATGAAACCCCCAAAGTTTCTTAATCCAATACACCAGACACCAACCTAAATTGGATGTTATCAACACAAGTCTAGATGACACCCAAATAAAAATGATTATGTGTAGTTTGTTTGTGTGTATGCATAGATGAGAGATTGAAGATAATGAGCAATCTCTGTATGTGTTTATAGTTCCATCAAATTGAAAATGATGCATGTATGAAGTATTTATATGCGTGCAAGTTAGAGGCAAAATGGAAACTTAGAAATGAAAAAAATGCAATTTTTCAGAAAAGTTTCAGCATGTGTCAATACATATAATCATGTGTCGACACATGTTATAGCATGTGTCGTTCTGTTCAAGGTCATGTGTCGACACATAGAAACAAAAGTTGCATGCTTTAAAAATGGGTTACATGTGTCCACATGTACATTGTATGTATCGACACATAAACAACATGTGTCAACACATAGACCATCATGTGTCAACACATAGACAACACGTGTCGACACATATACCTGGTTTTTATGCAGAAAATGATTTTTAATGCATGATACCTTTTCCAAACATGTTCTTAATGCATTCTAAGTACCCTAATACAAAGATGCACATAATGACTCTATGATACCTTTTTCAAGCATGTTCTAATGCATTTTAAGTACCCTAATATAAAGGTGCACATAATGACTCAGAGATACTGCCCAATATACATAAATGCTAAATTATCCTAGTTTTGACATCATACAAAATATCTAACAGACAAGTGCACTCATAAACTTTTCCCAAGTGGTCTTTACACTCTCTCATGTATAAATCCCAAAGCTCTTTTCTCTCTTGGGCATTTCGAGGGAATCAATACGTTTCCCCGATCATCGAATTCGCGTATTATTACCATAATCAAATTAAACAAAAAGGAAGTAAGGTAAAAACGAGAATACCTGAAGTTGTTTCGTGACCAACTGTTGATGGCAGCAAGCTTTAAAGACAACACTCGAGGAGAAGTTTGAAAAATTCAAATCTCAAGAGTGAAGAGTTTGGAAAAGGGACGTTGGATATTTATTCACTAAGTGTTATGCTTATGAAACGACTAGGAAAGTTATGTCATCAAAACCATAATGAGATTGATTTTCCTATAAAAATATCATCATTATAAAAAGAGAGAAGAAATCCCATAGAATATTTAAAATCAGTACCAATTTAATACGTTATCCTACGTCATCATTCAGTCAGACCATTGGCCAGGATCTAGTCGAGACAAGGCCGAGTCAGGATAAAGTTCCCATGGACGAAATAATTGTCGAGATTCTTTATCCAAACACTTCATCCTTCCAGACTTTGTGTTTGGAGGGCTTATGTACATCCCAGATTTTTAGCATGCCGAGTTAGGATATCTTATTTAGTTTAGGTTGAGATGATGGTTTATAGATACATGAATTTTCTATAACTAGCAGGAATCCAGGTTGGTTACCTACATGCGGGGGTCATGAAAGGTGTCCGGGTAGAGCATATGAGCCGACCCATGACACACGCCAGATTGCCGGGTTGGAAACCCACCATAGCAGTGAAGGGGCAACCAAAGGGTCGCACAAAGGTTATAAAATTATCGTTTGATCCGTTATAACTCAAGATTAATGACAGTTATTGAGACGATAAATATTATCTTGAGCACTCAATCATGAGAAACATTAAGCATCTCATTATGACTCATTGTTAAAGGAATCTAAGGATTGAAATGAAGAATATGTACGAAACACCGAAATAGATGTTTAGGCATTTGAAAATGATCTGACAAAAATACACGGATAAAAGGCACACTAGAAACAAACTTTCTAATATTTACGATCTTACCTGACTAGCTTCAAGAAAATTATCCCGACAGTATTTTTTTATGAAGAAATTATAAATTTAAAAAATGGTTTTAGACAACTGACACCAAAAATAAAGAGAACTTCTCTTTTCATCCTATAGTGAAAAGAAAATCTCTACGCAATTTCTAAATGACATTTGAAATCGAAAATATATTTCCGATGCGCATCATGTACCTCGCACAAACAAATCAAATATGATTTTTTTCTGCTTGTTTTTGTAGTACAAAATCGAAAATATAAATCCGAATACAAATTGAAAATTAAATTCCAATTTCAACCTATATTTTATTAAATTTTGATGTGTTTAAGAAATATATTTCCGATTTTCAAAAATAATTTTTAATCTATCGTAAAAAAAGAAATCCTCAAAATAGTTATCGTGTCTAGTTTATTTTGACGCAGGTCCTTTATACCGACAGGAGTGTTCACGGAAGTACTAATACGAAGGACAAGCATTAAGCAATTGGATCTCCAAAGTCAATCACTCTCACACCCGAGCCCACATAGTAACTCAGTGAGTCACACCACACCGAAACAAATCTCCCCAACCCAAACCCTAATCCCAATCCCCTCAATGGACGGCGACGACGATACCTCCGGAACAATGATCGACGAAATCTACGCGAACGGCGGCGAAGAGAGCGACCAGCGCAGCCGGCGAGCCATCATGAGCGGCGATCAACTCGACGTCGAAGCGTACGCGGCTCTGTACTCAGGGCGGACGAAGATCATGCGGTTGTTGTTCATAGCTAGCAAAAGCAAGATCCCTACGGTGCAGCTTGACACGCTTCGTATGGCGTATGATGAGATTAAGAAGGGGGAGAATACTCAGTTGTTTAGGGAAGTTGTGCAGAAGATTAATGGGAGGTTGGGTCCGAACTATGAGATGGATTTGAGTTGGTGTGAAGGGGTTGATCGGAAGGCTGAGCAGAAGAAAGAGAGGCTCGAGAATGAGCTTAATGCTTATAGGGTATTTTTCTCTTTCACGCTTTTGATTTTATCTTTCAATTTTTGTATTGTTATTGGTTGGAATTTGTGTAACATTTGTGTTCTGTTGATGCTTATAGTTTTGACTGATTGTATTATATTTAGAAACCTCGTGGGCTAGATGTAGGTTTTGCTTTTTGTTTGGATAGAGCATCAGCCATTACATTTGCCTTGCTTTCTTTTACAGTTAGTAGAGTAGTCAATAGCAGCCAATAGTGGCACTATCCCGCTATAGTGAAGTGGAGCGGAGGCTGACCGCTATGGGAAGAGCCTTAGCGGTGAAGAACACTATAGCAGCCTCTATAGGGTAGAGGCATAGCAGAGCAGAGCAGTTCCCAGCCTGGAGCGGTTTCTGGCTTGCTATCCTTTTTCCCTCTAAAAAACTGAAATTATCCCTTAAATTTACAATGTTTTAATGGTAATTTTTGGTTTTTTCAATCAAATTTAAGTAAGACTCAATCGTAACCTTCCTTCGTAGTCGTTTGTGTACTTCAAGAGTCATGTGTGCTTTGATCTATCAATTTGAGTTATTTGTTTAATTTTACATTAAATATATGTTTATAATTATTATATGTAATTTGTCCAAAAAATGATCAAATAGAGCTCTCATCCCACTATACGCCAGTGTAAGCAGTATCGAGAGTTGACTTGCAAAATCGCCCGAGTTATGGTCTCAATGGCATGCCGGTGTGCTGAACCGGCGGTAAGCTGGTAGGTGAAACTCGATAAACTCACCCGAGTTCAAAATGTGACTCATTTCAATTTTGCAGAGCGACGCTTCAGTTTTTAGAGTTTTTTGGTTTTTTATAGGAAAAACCCTAATTTTCTAAAACGAGCATGAATCGGGTCTGGTATTATTAAATACTGATTTATTATAATTTTTATAAAATAGGAATTCTTGAAGACACGGTCAAGCTTTCTCTTTTTCAAGGAAAAACCATTACAAAATTATTGCAACATAAATTCTCTTTTTCCCATTAATTCTTCCTCGTTAACATTCAAGCTATCTTCCTCATTATCAAATTATTCAAACAGAACTACTTCCTCTTTTCTCTTTTGCATTCAAGCTTCTTCCTCTTTCACATTCGGGCTTTCTCTTTCATTGAATTCCCTTTCAGTCAACAAGACATCGCCGTCGATGACACCGACTCGCTGCAGTAGTAGTGCTAAATTACATGTGTTCCATAAAAAAATATATTTTTCCACCAGTAGTAGGATCTTATGATCCGTGCTACGGTCCTCGAGTTATGATTTTTGAATCCTCTACCGATTCTGCGTAAACTCTCGAGTTGTAAACATTGCTATTCGCTGTTAATTTTTGGAATCGTCTGCTCTGCACCGTTCTCCGGGATTGACTACTCTTAGTGGCTGTTAGTGGGTTATGAATGTATCTCGAGAGATATTTTGATGGTGTTATATTGATGAAAAGGTTTGTTCATAGTTGCGAGTACCATGTTCTGTGAATTTGTGAGGGTAGATGGTTGGGATTAGCAATTGTGTGCCCTCAGGCTGGAAATTCGGTTTAATCTTATAATTGGTTTCTGTTCTAGTACTTCGAGGAAACATATCAACCATTCCAAATTATATTGTATTGTCAAGTTATTTCTGTTTGATATTGTTGTGAATTCTGAAGTAGTGTCTGAGTGGAGCTTTACCTTATATAGGTGTTTTGACATATGAAAGTGTTACTTTCCTTAATTGGCATTATAAAGTAGCTAGATAGATTCCACCCAAACCCAAAAACAAGAATACAAATATCAAGCTACATAAATAGGTTTACTACTGGGACTGCCTCATTTTATATGATATTTTGATACCCTGCTTTCTCCTTTTCCTTTTCCAACTACCTTAATTAAACTACAGTTGCTGCTTATACTCGCCCTCCAGTTCAGGATTTTGTTTATTTTTTTCAGACAAACTTGATTAAAGAAAGTATACGAATGGGATACAACGATTTTGGAGATTTTTACTATTCTCATGGTCAACTAGGAGATGCTTTTAAAAGTTATGTCCGTACCCGGGATTATTGCACTACGTCAAAGCATATAGTTCATATGTGTTTGAGTACGATTCTCGTCAGCATTGAGATGGGGCAATTTTCTCATGTCTCAAGCTATGTTAGCAAGGCAGAACAGGGAACAGATGCTCTTGATCCGATAATAATTTCCAAGCTACGATGTGCCGCAGGATTGGCAAATCTAGAGGCCAAAAAGTATAAGCTTGCTGCTCGAAAGGTCTTCTCCTTTTCTCTCTTTTTGACTCTAATTCTGCTCAGAGTACTGGATCACTCAAGGACTACTGCATGATCCATGAAACTCTGATCTGGAGTTGGAGAATATTCATTTATCATTGTTTGATGTATGATATCCTATTAACTTTTCTTTGGCAATCACATTTCCATGATTTAATGCAGTTTCTAGAAACAGGCCCAGAACTGAGTAGTCACTATAATGACGTAATTGCATCTCAAGATGTTGCAACATATGGGGGACTTTGTGCACTTGCAACATTTGATAGGGCAGAGTTAAAGGCAAGTTCTACATTATATTTTGGTGATAATCCTTGTAAATAACTATTCAGAGACATTGATGACACTGTCTTCATGATTTTATTCCTTATATTTTGCAGAGTAAAGTTATAGATAATTCCAACTTCCGGAATTTCTTAGAGTTAGTACCTGAAGTAAGGGAACTGATTAATGACTTTTACTCAAGGTAAGTGGGTGCAAGTGCTCTCTGTTTTCTCTGCTATTCTCTTATGTTTTCTATTAGTAAAAATATAATTGGGGGGTAGTTGTATGCTGTACAGTACATGTAATTATGGTAATTAGGATAACCATAGATACCTGGTATATTATACCCTTCCATCACATTGTTTAGACATACAGTTTTATCTCATATCTCTCTTTTCTTGTCTTAATTCACACGGTCTATGTGACATTGCTTTCTACTACGCATCACTTTTTTCTATCACGCTTAACTGAATTTAAGGTAAATTTACGAGTCTTGATTAAGCTGAGTATCACTGTGCATTTCATCATGTGTGGTACTGAGCTGCTTGGCTGAAAAATGACCAAAGTTTTAAAGAATGGATTGGAATATTTACACAAGAGAATATAGCCAGAATTCATTAGAGATTGATAGTTAGGTTTATAGTTTATTTTCTACTTTCAATTTGTGCTCAGAAAATTAAATCATTTTAAAAATGGATTTTGATTTTTGATTATATAGATAATGGGTAATAGAGTTCTTACATCTTTTATCTTGCCCAAATTGTTTGTATCACACACTTTGTTTGATATCTCTGTCTGTGTAAGTAAATAATGCTGGTTTTTCTTTGTCTTTGCAGCCATTATGCTTCCTGTCTGGAATATCTCGGGAACCTCAAAGCAAATCTGTCACTTGATATACATTTGCATGACCATGTCGAGACACTTTATGACCTAATTCGTCACAAAGCCCTTATCCAGTATACACACCCATTTGTGTCTGTTGATTTGAATATGATGGCTAATGCATTCAAGACAACTGTTGTTGGACTTGAGAAAGAACTCGAAGCATTGATTACTGATAATCAGATACAGGTCTGGTTTGAGTTACTATGCCTTGTTTCACGTTGTGGTTCATAGTTCAACCAGCCTGAATTTTAGGAAATTATACAAATATCAGTTAGTATTGCATGATTCTCATTATATTTGTACACGTCCAAATAAATTTGGCATATGATTTAAAAAATTTCAATGCATAAAGAAAAATCTGTCTTGGACTTGAACAGCTCATGACTTATGGAACCTTTTGGATCTGTGCAGGCTCGAATTGATTCACACAACAAAATATTGTATGCACGGCACGCGGACCAAAGGAATGCCACCTTTCAGAGGGTTCTAGAAACTGGAAGGGAATTTGATCGCGATGTTCGTTCCATGTTGCTGAGATCAAATCTAATTAAGCATGACTACAATTTTAGGGCATCAAGGAAACTTTGATCATGAATTGAAGACAATGGGACTGAGGTTGCTGTTTTACATATTCACAGATAATAGTCAACTACAATAGAGAAAGTTTGAATGGTGATTTCCCTACCTTATGGCAGGTTTGAATCAAGGCTGCAGCAAATAGTAATTGTATAACATTTAACTATATTTTATATTTTATGGTTGCTTTTTGTATATACTCTTTCATAGTTTAAATTAATCTGTCACTAGATTTACATTTCTTTTCTTCTTTCCCCTGTTTTGTTTATGTATTGTTACTCTGTCAGAAGGGAGCTTTAACACAAAATTTGGAATTACTATATGACGAGGATGATGATAGGTACCCGAAAAACGAAATAAAGACAGACATACTATTGATATGAATAGTTCAGGCCTGTAAGAGTGATATCAGGTCCTGGGTTCTGAAATCAAGGGAGGCGGAAAACTAGTTGAATATCAATGGTCTGTTAGAGAGATAGGAGCATCCGATTCTCTCCCAAATTGAACTGAACAGTCTACCTATATAATTCTTCTAGATCGGCTTGTTTTAGATTATGTTGAAAAAATATGCATTGGAATTAATCTCAACAAAACAGAGGTTGTTAGTTGGTTGGTAAGGTATAGTATAGTCTTCCAGGTTTAGAGGCTGGCTAATGGCAATTGCCAAGATTTTCAATAAATGGATAAAATAAAAATATAGTGAAGAAATGATCAATGTCGATAGGAAAATCCGCGCAACTTCCATGTCTATCAAATTTGTAAATGGCATGTAGTTAGAACCGCACATATTCATGTCTATATTAAGAATCAATTAAATGCAACACAGGTATCAAATCAGTTGATCTGCTTAGTAGTTAGAACTACATGGATTCATGCGATTGTTACATCTGTGTTTGTTCAATTAAAGATCAGACAATTTATATTTTAAATAAGATATTTTAAATTAATATTTAATTGAATTTTGGATTGTCAGATATTAATTGGACGACCTAACTAAGGCAATATTAGGCTGGGATTACAAATATTAATTTGGCTGTATTGATTTTAATAATTTTTTATTACTTCTAATTAGTAGTGGTAACATAGTAAAAGCATATTATCATAATAAGCACACTTGTTATGATTTTTAGTGGGTTTGTTCAGATTCACGTAATTCCACCCATTCATTAATATTCAAATTTGATTTAAACTGTCAACAAAACACGGAAACATATCTCAACGAATGAATGGATACCTAACTACTTTGTATATATCTGTTATTAATATATAAACAAAATTTACTATATGCCCTCTTATTTTAAATAATTTTTTAATTTATTTTTAAGGGCATATTAGTTTTTTTTAATGTACTCTTATCACTATATTATTTTGATATTTAATGTCGCTGATGTGTCGGCACAATAGATTTTTCTATTGTTTTTAATTTTTTTTACAACTAATATTAATAATGATTTAATAACACTTATCTCTTTATAATTAATCATAATTATAGCACATAGTGTAATTTATGTACAGTTAGGGGTTTTTGCATACGAGGAGTCATCATTCAACCATTCTTCTATTTCCAATGATGCAGTAAAGATAGCATCTTCCAACACCATAACTCCCAATAATGGATAACTCCACCCTTACAGCTTTTGTTTGCAAGCGACTCAACCATAAATATCTAATCTATTTCTTCAATACTCCAGTATATCTTTTCCCCAATCATCAATTGTTCTCAATATTCAAGTAGTGAACACAACACATATTACATATTTCGTTTTACCTGATTCTGTTTGTCACAAATCCAGTCGCATTCAATCCCGAATCTCTGGCTTTTGTTTTCTTAAGATGATTCTTTCAACCCCAATTTGATGGATTAGGTTAAATTCATGTTGAAGCATCTGTAAATTTCAGAACATGATTAAAGAGTATTTGGATGCGACTCATTCGAAGATTGGGGATTTCTGTTTAGGGTTTACGATACGGTTCTTTTATCCTGATGAGGGCAAATGATTTCATGTTGTTGTTACAGTTTTTTCTATTGTTTTAACTTTTCATCCATCCAATTTTATCGTGTTGATGTTTATATTTTCTAAGGTATGATGGCGGTGGTTATGTTCGTAATATACCTTATCAAACCTTTGGGTATCTGTAATATTGATTTTTTTATAATCGTTTTTTTTGTAGAGAGATATGATTCAAGCCATTGTACCACCCTTTTAGTTTCAAAGTTCAAGGAACATCTTGATGTTGGATGTTCATATATAATGCAGAATTTCAAAGTGTCTAACAATGATCTCTCTTTTAAATTCACTAATCATAGCTGCTTCTGATTTCTATCTTGTTTTTTGTTATTTTACTTTTCAGCTTCAATCATTGTTTGATCTTCGTTTTGATTTGCTTAGTTATTTTGTTATATTTTTAACCCATTGATGTATAAACAACTATACTGTGTTTTTTGGGGATAAACTAATGAAGTTGCTGCATTATATATAAGGTTGATGTTTATATTTTGTTGCTGCATCATATTGTAGAGTTGAGGTTGATGTTTATATTTTCTCAAACCTGCACTTGGTAGCATAAGGCAACATATAACTTTTATGCATGTCTTTTTACCGGATCGGTATGTCATAAGGAACCATCAACTTTGGAAGATCTTGAGAATTTTCTGCAGTTTTTATTATCTGGTGGATTCTTCTTCCTGCTTTGGGAAAATTCTGAAAATCTAGGTGTTAGTTGAACGTGAGAAAAAAAATTCAAGCTAAGGTGAAAGAAATCTGAAAAGGTGTTTTTTTTTTGTGAACTCTGCAACAAGCAATACAAATTAGCAATGGAATTTGAAGCACACTTGAGCTCTTATGATCACAGTAACAGATAGGTAGACAATTTATCTAACTCTGAATTGTCTCTTTTGTCATTGACTTAGTTTTTTTTACCCTATCCAATGTTTAAATATTGATGTTAAATATGCAATGTTTCAAGTAAATGAAAGAAATACATGAGTCTGGCTCTACACCAATTTCAGTTTCCTCTGAATCTAGGACCGCTACTGCTCTAATAGATCAGGAGCAACGAAATACTTTGAAGTTCAGGTTTTCTTCTAAAGGATTTATTCCCAAGGTATATATAACTGGTATCATGTATTTGAAAATAATATGTATTTTTTCTTGAAGTACTATGGGGTTTGTTTAGTGTAGTACCTAATAATGCTTTTGCATTCTTATGATGAACCAACTTTATGCCTAAATTATTATAAGCTAACAATAAAATCTCTATTTCCTTTGACGCATAATACAGTTGGTGCCAAGAAGCAAAATATTCCAAAGAAGCAAAATGTTCCAGTGACCTCTAGATTTGATGAGGAGTTTTTGATAATCGAAAGCGACAAAATGTGGGATGTTTTTGATGCAAGATGGAGTACAGATAAAAATGTGTGTTGTTTGATTGAGGCATTTGAGAATTGAGACTGGACTGAAGTTGAATTAAATTATATATGTCAGTTAGAACTCTAAGATGTTAAGAGTTGTTAGTTAATAGATAATTTAGGTTATGTTGTGTTCAGTTGGAGAGTTAGAACTCAGCTAACAATAGGAGTTTTGATGCATAATTGTTCTATTTGTCTGCTTAATATTTGAAGTAAATACAACTTTGGTGACTACTTTGGCAAGACCAACTCCAATCCAAATGGGATGAGATATGTGATATACATAAACTTCAGAATTTCAAAATTGAACATAGATCCATATTAACAGAAACCATTGCATATATGATTAGCAAGGGTTACAAGATGACAACAACATCAGTAGAAATTTGACATGCAAATATATTGTAGGATTCTCAAAGCACGACACTGTTTATCATGTTACTACATTAGGTATAAGCTGTAGTTGCTTATATTGTTTATCACATACTATTTAAAAACTATCATTGATAATTTATTAATGAGTATTGAAATATATGTATACTAATTGAAATATATAGTAGAAATTTTAAGCAGAACCTGAGAGAAATTTTAATTGGTAATAATTCGTAACAATTAGTATACTATTGAAATATATAGTAGAAATTTTTGTTAGTATAACGCGTTAAGTATATATGAGTATATTGAAATTTATTATTCATGAAAATGAATTAAATTAAAATTAAAATATATTTAAATAATTTGGATTAAAATTAAAATCAATTTTAAACCGATTTCAAACCGGTTTGAAAAAAAATTATATCTCTCAAAGCAATTCTTATAGCAAATGCACAATCGTAGATGAAAAGACTTTCAATATAGATAAGGAATCCTAATTTTATAAATTTTAATTTTAATTTTTTATATTCTTAAATTTGTTTTTTTTATTCATATACTGATAACTACAACAATAATAACCAAATTATTGTTTAATATTGTAATGGATGACCATGAATATCAATTTCTTAAAAATTAATTAATAAAAATAAGTGTTTAAAATAAGTTTTATTCTATTTTTTTTATAAACGGAAAAAGTATATTATTGATATAAATATTTTTTATTAACGAAAAAATATATTATTAATAATTATTTTTTATAAATGTGCCACTATCTTTTCATTAATATACATTTTGTTTAATTAAATTAAAATTTTTAATTTAATAAAAATATTTAAATCTAAATATGTTTTTATAAACGTGCCACTCAAACAATTTATTTTAATCTAAATATGTTTAACTTCTAAATTAATATTATATTTTTTTCAACTTAAATTACTAAAACAAAACAAAATCTTTTTAATTTAACCTTATAATTTATAAACTTAAGCATTTTTTTATTTCTCATAAATCTTTCTAAATTCTTTTTATAAAGTAGTTACAATTTAATTTTGTTTAATTTTTTTAAAGTATGATCAATTAATATTTTTTTTATCAAATATTAGAAACAAATATTACAAATTTTTATCAAATATTTGAGAACAATTAAAATCGAAACTTTACAAAAGTACCTTTTGAATGGAAGCATTAATATCAGTTATTTTTATTATACTTATGTAGAAATTATTTTGTATGTGACATGAATATATCTTTTTTATGCATGCTTTCAGTCCATAAAATATTATGATCAATAAATTGAAATTCTATTTTAATATTATAGATTTATATTGTTTCATATTGTAGGAATATCATAGACATCAGAACATATAAAGATATGAAAAAAATTTAAATCGAAATTTTACAAATATATCTTTTGAATGGAGGCATTAATATCATTTATTATATATGGAAATTATTTTGAATGGTGACATTAATATATTATATATTTTATTTTTATGTATTTGATTCCATAAATTTATGTTACATAAAATTTGAATTCTAATTTATTTTAAATAGAATTATAATTTAACAAATAAAATTTTCTACAACATATTGTGTATACTTTTTGAAAGGTTACACTTCTAATCTTGAGAATATTAACGTAGTCTAAAAAAGATTTTTTTTATTTAATAATTATATATTTTGAAGAACAGTTAATTATATTAGACGATTATACTCATTTATTTTAAATAAAAGTAATATTTTGTATTGATAAAAATGATATAAAAGTAATTTTCATGTCGAATTTGCATGAACATATTTTACATAGTTTATTATATTTTGACGGGGTGTTGTCATATATTTTATGTTTGTAAAAAATGTAAATATGATCTGATAAAAAGATTTTAGGTTTTTAATTTAACAGGGAGCTGTCATATATTTTATGTTTGTAAAAAATGTAAATATGATCTAATAAGAAGATTTTAGGTTTTTAATTTAACAAGGGTTGTCATACACCGTAGGTTGTAAAAAAAATGTAAATATGATATAATAAGATAAAAAAAATTTAAAACTAGAATTTGACGGAGGAGTTGTCATACATTTTAGGTTTGAAAAAATAGACTAATAAATTATTAGAATTAACTCAATTAGATTCAACTGGGGTTTGTTAATTCATATAGATTCACATGTGGATGTAAACGTATCTATGAGATACCAGTTGTAGACTGCTCATTTTAATATCCATCTCTAAAAGTTGGACAATGAATCTGTTGTACGATTTATTATAAGTACAATGAATGCTTAAAAGTTTGTTGGTGTATATTATTAGCCTATATTTGTATGCAATTGAAGAATGAAATTCATACTTTATAAATGATGATCTTATAGACGTGTAATATGAACTCAGACGGGACCCGTGCGATAGCACAAATTTCTTACTAATTTTGAAGTAAAAAATTTACTCACAATTTCTTTTCTTATCCTTATATGTTCTTCCTAACCTTTGACGAAAAATAAAATAATGTCTTTTATTTTTGAAGATACATCTTCGAACGCGCAATTTTACATAAAATAAACACTAATTATTATGTTCCTCTCACTTTGTCAAAATTTAATTTAGAGATGTATCTCTAAATTGGACCATTTTTAGTTTTTGGAGATACATCTTCGAATTGAGTCCATTTTGCTATAAAATTTTAAACTAATGTCTTTTTTCGTTTTTTCTCTCCAGGAGAATAGCTGCAAACAACATCATTATTATTGATTTGTTTTCGTTGTGGTGGTCACTAGCTTTTCATTTTAACACATAATGTCAAATTTATTGTGTTTCCCTCACTTTGTCAAAATTTAATTCGGAGATGCATCTCCGAATTGAGTTCTTTCTGGTTTTCAGAGATGCATCTTTGAATTTAGTCCCTTTTGCTATAAAATTTCAAACTAATGTCCTTTTTCATTTTTTTCAGGAGAATGGCTGCAAACAACACCAACAAAATGAGACTCTGTCGCGAAACCCTAATTGTCCGCTCGCCGCGAGAGATTAACCAAATTTTCATACTTGTAGAAGTTATATGAAGAAACTTTGGAGTTGGCTGAGGAAGTTGACGGTGATGATCTACATATTACCTACCACTAAGAGTGTGCTTTGAGGTGTTTCCTCCTATTTTTGATTGGCACGTCCATGTTTGTGAACAAAAATGCAACCTACATCGATGTGAGATACCTTAAGTACTTCATCAACTTGTCGGCCATTCACGAGTGGAACTGAGGACCGTCTGTTTGGTATACTTGTACTCCAAGCTGAGTGAAGATTCTCTTTGGACGACAAAGCAAATGACAGACTTTTGCACCCTACTGACGTTAATTTCCATACCCACAATTAATTTTAAAGCAACTTTTTTTACACTTGTTACTAATGTTATTTTCTTATTCATTTTCAGGGATGAATCCTATCCCACTTTCACCATATACACAAGTTTGATCGTGTGCTGGTGTATACTAACGATTACCCAAGTGGTTGTCTGTATTGCCCGTGAAGAGGGAATGTTGTGCGGCTATTTCGTGTGTATATTGACATAACTCAACATGATAACATCAATTGGACACTATACGCCACACTCGGAACACTATTACCTTCGACCCTATTTCATATTACTATGGATGGCTGCATTTGGGAGTAATATGATGTTGAGGTATCTGTCGGAGTGATGCATGCTCCAGTTTAGATTTGTGAAGATCATGCTGATGGTTACATGATTTGGTTCTATACTGTGTCGCACCATGTCATCACACCATACGCTATGGACGTCCACCTAGGCCTGCTCATGAGTAGATCCTGAAGAATGAGCAGGTCAGAATGACCATGCCATTGGTGCGTCGTCGATCTGTCAGAATATTATGTGGATTACGAGAGAGGGCAGAGAGTCGGGGCTGTTTGAGAGAGGTGGCAATGATACAATTGTCCTAACACGTTCTATTCTTACGGAGGCACAAAATGCCTTGGGTTACCGACAAAAAGGGAGGAGCCAGAGGGTTAGGATTAGACACACGCAATAGATTATGCTATTTTTATTTATATTTTTAGATATTTTACTAGTACTTTTCATACATTGAGAACTACATTTGTAATATTTTGAGATGTTTTTTTTAATTAATACATTACCTTATTTTGAGATGTTAATGTTTGAATCAAATTATGGATTATGACACTCATATGTTCCGATGAAATTTAAAAAAAAATCTCTCGAATATGCATTTTCAAATCCAATGCACAAAATACACAAGAAGCTTGCTCTAAAACACACCAAAGCAAGTGTTAACAAAATCAAAATTTTGAAATGCAAATGAGTAAGTTACATAAATTGAACTTAGGACATGTAACACCATATTTCTCCGTCGGTAATTTATATAATAATCAGAGTAAATTAATTTTTAAACAAACATCAACCAAATATGATGACACATACTCCACAAATCATACATGCTCAAATTAGGATACGCAAGACAATTCATATGCTCATAAGTCTTAAACTTTAATACATATATTTGCAACAGAAAAACATAAATAAATAGTCATCTCAATTTTTCAATCGAAGTTATTGTTAGAACAAGATTAGTTCTGATTTATCTCATAGTTTTGACGATAACAATAAATTATATTTTAGATAATTTATACTATGATGAACGTAT